ACAACCATGGGATGACCTGCTAAAATCTGCTTATGTATAATTCAGAAGGGAGTCAGACTAATACATGATCAGTCAGCCTTAAATTCAGCATTCAAGGTAGTAACAATACCCTGATACTACAGATACGCTGATAGCAGAGCATGGTGCCCGTACCAAGTGGAACCAAACTTGTAGGCAAGTAAACCTAACACCATATCATAATATGAGCACGGTGTCTTTTACACTGTTATATTGTTCTGTCTACTTGGGCTGGCCCAACAGATGCTTACAAAGATGTTGGATAAAATAAATAAAAAATGCTGGATGAAAGCTAGATGCAAATGAGGTTATACATCATCAACAATTCACTGCTATAGTTTATTTAGATTCACGGACATGCTGTTTTTATATGTTCACTGGCAGAATCTACGGGACTGTATATGCCAATATCTGTGCAACTGTCTCTTCAAATTGCTAGCCTGCAGGTTGACATGATCAGCAAAACATTCCTAGAGGTACGGATCAGCAATGTAGTAGCAATCTAATCAAGTTTGTGTCTAGCCCGTGGCGCCAACGACACCTCCCGTGCCACTGCCGGCCTTAGAAATACCAAAGAATTATCACCCAACAACTATTGTATGCTTGATTTTTATTGCTTATAGCAAAATAAGGCCAAATTTAAATAACACTAATTTTACTATTTTCTATGTTCTTTGACGACTCTTGGTGATGATCTAGATTGTGTCTAACAAATCAAAGTAATTTACTTCACTCTGTTTTGCAAGTTTCAGTTTCTATAGCATGGCTTGCATGCGTCAAGGCAACATAGAGTAGTCATGAATGTATTACCAATCATATCATTATTAGTAATGATCTTTGTATGAATTAATATAGGCATCTACCTTACTGATACACTCAACATAAGCAACTTGGTCCAATGTTATTTGGTTGATCATCCCATTTTACATAATCCAATCGAAGAACTGAATTTTATGGGCATAACTGTACTACGTGCGAAGAACTGTACGTAAGCAGATTTGGTAAATGAATACAGAGGCATGCTCTCCATGAAAAGTAGGATCAAAATAATGCCCCCCCCCCCCGCAATCAATATATATTGTTGTACTTAGTATAGTGAATTTTGGGGACATCAATGGCTGGTTTCAACATAGATATGTGCAAGATTTTCACCTGAAAATAACAATGGGTTTCTATATCTGTCCATCAGAGTGCATCATCTCCAATAATTATCCAACAGACTGCTACAAAGATTATTTGTCCATATGATGGCTCTAGTCAGATATATATTCAGACATCATACCAGTCGATGCAATATATGTACTCCGAAACTAAGCCTGGTGTTTGTACTGTTTATTAGCCTACAGATGTTCTCACGTACTCACAAGTATCTATGCAAGATTGTGGTAGTGGGCAGTAGCAGCGGGCTATGGGAAAGTTGTTTCATCAATGCGAATGCGCACTCCTTATTCCAGCTCTGAGGTTGGTGTTGACACAACTCCTGACAGAAAAAAATCATGAAAATGTGTTAGACACACAACTGTTCATGTCCTACCGAGCACGTCAACATATTGCCAATTGGTGGGTCAATACAAAGGTACAAACTGCATGCATATTAAGAATGACGTACATTATGGATACTATGGTAACAGCCAATACTTTGTCGCCTCCCACTACAGGCTCCCTTGCAACGTTGGGCATGACTCCATATATTCTGTAACCGTATAACTGAGGACACCGGTGCCCCCTTTAACGATTTCCACTGCAACCACCACTTCACCATCCCAGACCAAGCAGCAAAGGCTCATGTTTTTTCCGCACAGATCTTAGTAAAACATGAAAGCGATACTGAAAAGATATAAGGACAAAAGAGTTTTGAATATAAACGCTAGCCAGATAGATAAAACGCCATGTGCATCTACAAATTTGTATGGAGACTTGGATAGGCAATGCATCGTCTTTACCTCTAATAAAAAGCATGTAGAGATCAGTACATGTTCACTTAGTAAAATTATAGGCCCTCTAAGCATGTCTTCTCTGTAATAATTACACTAAAAGCTGTAAATCTGCAAGGGCTCTCTTGCTGGCAGGAAGACTTTTATGAGAAGCCATTGATCAGGACTGAATTATTCAACATCCTCACTCAAAGATTTTTCATCATTCCCATGGCATAAATCATGTAGTTCAATCCATCTCCTTCTATTACTCGATGGCCGTTAGGTAGTATACATCATCTTCATCCCCTATCTAACCAGCCTGAAAGTTTACTACTGGAACACCACGATACAACCATAGAGCCTCGTAATCTTAGCATGGAGCCGACCACTGCGACATGTAAGTTGGGACGGCATCTCCGACCACTACACGCTGACAGCCTGCTCATACTTGACCTTGCTTCTCGATCACACATGTAAGGAGCGGCCATTTGCAAATTCAGCATGATGTGGTGAAGCAATTTGAAGAAGGAAGTAGTGTGCGTACGCATCTGAAGATGGTGGTGGCGTCGGGGCTGATCTCAAGGTGGGCAATGATGGAGCGGCAGAAGATGTGGCTTGGGCTGGGCCTTGGCTTGATGCCGGGACGGCTGGGGCGGCGGCCCATGCGATTGCTGCAAGCGAGCGGGACGAGCATCATCCTCGTGCAGACGCGGGCAGGGACAGACAGCGCCGACGCTGTTGGTCGAGCGGGGCGGTGCTCCAGTGACGAGGATGGCGGGGCCCGGTCGGATCCGGCCGGATCTGGACGGGACGGATCCATTTCTGGCGGATTTGGCGTGCAGGCGGCCGGATCCGGCGAGATTAAGGGCTGGTGGCGCCATGGCCCTTCTGGAGGTCCCTATTCAGCGAGAAAGATAGAAAGAGGTGAGAGGAGATCGAGAGGAAGGAGGAGAGGGGCGAGGCGGCGGAGCGGCCGGAGCTCCGGCGGTGAGGCGCGGCGGAGGTGTGGGGTCGCCGGCGAGGCGGCTTGCGGGGGCGAGGGGAGCTCGGGCAGGATGGAGCTGCGGGAGGCAGAGCGGTCTGGTTCGCTCGAGCCACCGCGCCGCCCCCAGCCGCTCGAGCCACCGCGTTGACCCGATCCAGAAGCTGGGCTTGAGCGGCGGCGCGACGGCGGGTCGAGTTCCGGCGGATTCCGGCGGGGCGACGACGGGGCGGAGTTCGGCGGCGCGCGGCGGCGTTGCAGGGCGTGGCGGCGCTGGAGGTGGATGAGATTGGGGTTCATGGGTCGTTCGTGTGGCTAGGTTTTTTTTTCTTTCCAGGGGGACCGCGGGTTGAATTCTCAAAACGGCAGGGTTCTTTTTGTAATAACGAAACGTTTTCTGAGATAGCAACTTAAAAAGGGACTGCGGGTTGAATTCTTGAAAATAGAGGGGCTTTTTTGCAAAAGTGACGACGACGTACGACCAGAATCACCCCGTGCTTTATTAGTAGGAAAGATTGCAGCACTATTCCCTCAACCAAGCGAACGACCAGAGAGGTCTCCTTCCCGAGCACGACAGTTCCTAAGGCCTTTACAATGGGAGGTGCTTAGAGAAATAAACCGAATTTTTCTGAATCGCCGGTGCCTATTTTTATAGGACAGACGCTTAGTTAAACGTCTACCATGTACAAATAAGCACCGGTGCTTAAGGAAAGCCTGATTTATTTTTCTAAGCACCTCCCATTGTACAAGGCCTAAGCCGCCGCCGGCCGAAGCCGCCGCCGCCCCGCCGCCGGTACAGGAACCCATCAGCTCCACCCTCCGTCGAGCAGCCGCTCCAGCCCGGAGCTACGGCGGCCACCGGTCCATATGCAGGTAGCCACCACTCCTTCGTCCTCCCTCCTTCCTCTTGCACCCTCTGTTTGTTCAATTTCTTTCCTGATTTTCTGTATTCGATGAGCACGTGCGGTACATTGCATATTGTGAGAATATAATGATGACTATTACTTGATGAATACTTGCTGCATGATTTTTCCAGTGCACGTTCAAGTTTACGTACCCTACAAAAAAAAGTTTACATGTGCAAGGATTTTTGTTTGATAGGTGTTTGTGATAATGCTTGTAGGAACGAATGTTTACAAATTGTAGTTTGTATTCTTTTTTCAGATGAGCAAATGTTCTGGTTTAAACATCTTAGCGGTGAAAACATGCAATGACAAAATGCTATCCTGTGCCATACTACGCCAAACTCCATTACAACCTGCTGGGGCTCATTGAGGAACGACAAAATCCGGTCTACGGTGATCATTGCTATCCTGTGGAATATCTGGAAGCGACGAAATGCTAAAGTGTTCAGAGCTGAAGTACATGATGCGTACACGTTACTCTGCGCCTACGCGGACGTTCTAATGTTATGGTCTTATAGATGCCCCGCCGAGCTAAAGAAGTCTCTTCTTCTAGAGTGGAGCTCAATGTTGTTGCTTCTAGCTGGGAGAATGTAACTTTTCTTTTTTCACCTCCTCCCTCCCTCACCTCCATACCTCCTCTTCACCTGGTTGTAAGTTTCACGTTGGTTTAATATATTCGTTCAGGCCGGTGTAAGCCCGCCGTTGCAGCGTAAAAAAAAAGCAATAACTGACAATATATAAGAAGAAAAAGATTAAGTTGTTTTATCTGCACCGTCTTGACATGAAATCAAATCTTAGTAGCAGACTAGCAGTAACATGCAATTTGAGAGAGCAGGAGCTTTGTCTAATTGTCTTGGTTATACTGGCCGAAATTGCTTAACACATGAGTAGTTGTATTGTTGGCATGGTAGATGTCCCAAATCTTGTTTATGATTGGGAATATAGTGTACTGTTACGCTGTGTTGTTGATTTTAACAGTCAGACCTAAAATAATACCATTTCAAGTGATTGTTTGTCCTTTTGCATGTTAGCTGATTGATCTTCAGGTTCCACCTTTCGTGGCATGCCATGCTGCAAGCCTTTCTGTATTTTGGCTCAGATTGTGCTAGTGTGCACACAAGAGGAATTGTTGATTTCTTGTTTATTCATACATTTTTTGCTCAGGTTCCGCCGGAGGCCATGGTGTGGCAGCACGGCATCGTCCTCGCCATGGGCCTCAAATCCGACCACTTCGGCCCCCTCGTAGCTGTAAAATCTCTGTCCACCTCCTACCCTAGTGTGTCAGCTCATGCGTGCGTGTGATGCCCTAACTCCCGCCACCCGATCCCTCTCGCAGAAAGTGTGCGACTGCCTCCTCCGTCACGGAGCGCTGCAGCTGCCAGAGATTGTCCGCCGTCTCAAGCTCCCGCCAGGCCAAGTGAAGAACTCTCTCCTTGTCCTCATCCAGCACAATTGCGTTCAGGCCTTCTCATCGACGAGAGGCAAGCCCATATGCAAATCCTTGAGTATTTTATTTGATTTGATGCCCTCCTAGTCCGTGACTCCATTTTTCTGTGATTGTAGGCAATAGGATGGTGACGCTCTACCTGGCCATCTTCGATAATGTCCTGCATCGGCTGCGCTTCTCAAAGTTCATCTCTGTTATCCGTGCGGACATTCCAGAGGTATTTACTTTGTTGTGAACTTGATTTTAATTCACGCCTGCTTGTTATAAGTCGGGATTGATTAAAACAGCAGTCATAATTCTCTGAATGCTGAAACCAGTGTGGAGCAGATGGTACTGTAGATTTTGTGCACCTATGAATTGTGCCTTGTGATTCTCGTTGCTAGATGCATATTGACCTTGATTAATGGTCTAGAAGTGATGACATGAGGTACTTGCAAAATTAGGTCGGTGTCCTGAGGATGTCTTTTGCTCTTTCACAATATTTAGGTACTGCAATCACTAAAGATTATTAGCAGTTACCATGGCAATGACAAATGCTGATTGGTTAACGATTAGTTTGTCGGTTGTTTAAAAAATAAAAACATGTCC